TTTTTAGTTTTTAATTCTTTTAGGAAATAGACTTGCCTAGATTTAATCTTTACGCCCCAGATATTATTTACATCGGAGTTGCATCATAAATTGTACTCGGATTCAAACAACACAATGTCAATGACTTTATAAAAGTAAAAGCATATTGTGTATTGGCCTATTGGGGTTACACTTTACAGGTTCATTTAACTTTAAGTCTTTAACTCTCTCAAGTCTCAACAGATAATCGGACATGCCAAATCCATTGATATGACAAATTGACAACTTCAAAAAACTTTCTTTCGAAGCTAGAAATCATGATTTTTTTCAAATGTTTCCTGGGGTACTTTGTTTCTGCTCTCTAGACTCCCCTCGCGGCTCTAGTGCTCCACCCCTAGAATATAGACCTTACTGGGGTTTGGTGACACTTTGTGTTGCTTCAGTTACCTGCTCCTGGCTCACCCCCCTAAAATTTCTGGCACCACCCCAGTAATAAATATGAAAATCCGTCTATGCGAAGACTAAAAAGCAATGTCAACAGTCATGTGTCAATACAATATGTAAATCTACCAGAATCACTATCTTGATATTTTCCGATTTGTCAGGAGACAAATGATGTCTCCAAAGAAACTACATGTGCAGACAATATGAAACTTTAGACTGCAGAAACGTTCACAAACCATTATCAAACTCATGTCACAGAAGTGGTAAAGGACATGTGTGACAATTGAATGGTATCCTTTTGTAAAGTTTTGGCCAGGGGTGGGTATTTATTTTTTAATCGATTTTCAAGGTTGGGCAGTCAAATTTTTTACTTTTTCATAATGGTTGGGTCAGCAAAATTTTTGCCACGAAAAACATTTCTCTTCGGTGTTACCCCCCACCATAAATAATGATCCGTCCCTTAACTTATAGTATCTTTCAAACTTCAAAGAGCGACTTGTGTTTTTATGAATCATGGGGGCAAGCAAATACGGATTTCTCGGGAGCTTTTTCAAATAGATAATAATCAGTTTAACAAACCACATTGCAGTATAAGAACAGAATACACGGTTAGAATGGAAGATAAACTACCTAAATCTATAATACCTGTACATCAATAGTTATATTTTACTGATATAAAGTTTTGAAATCGCTCAGTGTTTGTTTTTAAAATGTACCTGATGTTTACCACAAAAACAAAAGACTTAAAAAAATCTCTTCCCCATGGTCAATCCCGGCGGTCTATTCGAACATAAACAAGATTTTAACCACATTCTAAGCAGATTAACAGAAAAAAAAACACATTTCGTTGCCGCATTTCCTAGCCTATAGAATCGACGTGAAGCCAAGTATGGGGGTTTACAAGAATGTTCAAAAATGTTTTGCATGCAGATGGAAATTTCCAGTGTAACGTAAGTGATTTATACACATACATATTAGACCAAACCGGGAGCAGTTGCAAAAAAAAAACAACTACAGACCCTCTGGAATCGAACCTGTGGCTCTGCGATTCCGGTGCAGCGCTCTAACCAACTGAGCTACAGAGTCAAGTTGTCGAGCTCTAACCGCGAGTTCATGTATGTCGCTATAAAGTCTTAATGTACCATATAATATGTCGCAGGAAAAAGCAACATCCGCAAAAATTGTAGACTGTATTAAGTATTTATAAATGCTATACTATTAAGCGTGTAGAAAACCATTATATTGCTCTTAGCTATACCACATGGTAAATTTTTGTTGAATGGTTTCATCAAAACACTTCAGGATTTTGAGTGTGAGGTCGCCTCCGTTCGGGCTAAAAATAGGGAGCTTTAGATTTGACTACGAGTACGAGATTCGTCAAGCTAAACGCATGCTGTATGCTTACGCCATCCCGTACTGACGCTAAAAAGTCGTAG